TACGACGACAAGAGAGAGGATGCAAACCAAACTCATCAATGGAAGCACCACATCTGCATCTGTGACGCTCACATAATTTGAGTCCAAGACAGATTGCGAGACTGACCAGAGTGCACTGATCATCTAGAAGGGTACCGATAGATGAAGAGGGCACTGCGTTGAGCCAGGCACCACTACTCGGTTGTGAAGCAGATAGTAGACAGGGGAGGCGATGCTGATCCAGAGAGAGCCTCAAATTAGTAAAATTGGCCTTGCATTTTATTTTATCCCAGCTTTTTAGTTTTGGTGTGTCTAGTGGGATAGAAAGTAATTCTTAGGCCCAGATACTGCAAGCTTGTTCAAAAGAACTACTGAGAAATACTGAGATGATCCACCGAGTATCTCATCAATTAATTCACGACTGGACGAAAGTGAAGAAAGATATGCTGGAAGGGCCAAATCTACCGCTGATCAGAGGCCCATTTAAGCAGACACTCTATTTATTAAACAGTATATTTATTTATTTTCATCTAACAGTTTGAATATTTGAGAAATCTTATTAAAGAAAAATATGAACTGAAATTCCACAAATATTCAGGCTGGTAAACAAAGATAAATAAATATACTGTTTAATAAATAAAACGGAATGTCTACTCATATAAAAATAATGATTAAGTAATAAAATCTGTGGGATTAATAAATAAAAAAATCCATCATACACTTCTGTGTAGATCTTTATGAAACTTAAATTGTATGATGTCAATGTATATCTATGTTTTCCAAATATTGTTCCTAGCATTTGTGTTATAGACCAGCACTTGGTGCTATTTTCAAACAAGTGAAGACATATAATAGCAGACAATACGGACTGTTTTGTGACACATTTTTATTACATTGTGCATTGGGGGCGTTGTTTAGCTAAGTCAGTTCTGCAAAGTCTCTGATCACAACCAAAATGCCAGTGTTTGAAAGAAATCGCTGTCAGCATCTTTACTGCCATTTATTTCCAAAACGACAACATAAAACACACATATCACCGTCTGTAGTAATTATGTCCAGACAAACTCGTATATGCACGAAAGCTAAGTATCACCTACTATGTATTGAACAGCGAAAAAAAGCAAAATAACGTATGTCATATTTTTATTACTTCACAGCTCCCAAGAAAATTAAATTTTGGCACTAAATGATCCATAAGGAATCAATATACCATTAAAGAAATCAATCGTATTTCTATAGAGTCAAGACTCAATTCAGTAGAAATGAGACTAGCAGTAACTGAGCATTATGGAAAAAAAAAAAGAACCATAGAAGATATCCCTAGACATGAAGAACAGAAAGCGAACAGTTAACTCTCAATTGATTAAATAAAGTGTTCAGTTCAAAATTCCCTGAAGTTTACCCAAATCTAGACACTTGAAGAAGGATGGAGGGTACAACATTAGTCCAACTTATCTTAGAAATTAAAAGTAGCATAATACCCATGAAAAATGATAGGATAATTTATGTACAAATTAGTCCTTCTGCCTTGGATTTGACCTTGTAATCGTCCTTGGGTGAAAGCGTCACACCTCTGTCCTGTCGGAGACCAGAGTGTACACACCCAGGCCCTTGGGCTGGAATCAATGTGTCGGATCTGTTCGATCCTTCTTTTAAACTTACAAAGGATATTTAGTAATGGTGATTCCAACACTATTGCAGCACCTCCCTCATTTCAATAAAGAGAGAGAGTTGGTGGATATGAACACCTGCATAAACAGTTTTCACAGGGACTAAGCAATCAATTTGTATCCTTAGCCCATATGTATGTTTATGGGCAACCTACATTAAAAACGACAGTGTGTCACATCCTACCTTTGTGGGGAGGTTGATAAATGCCAACCAGAGTAGATGCTCCCCACACTTTGGCTTCGTATCAAAGTGCAGTATCAGTTCACTCTTTTCCTTAAAGTTATTAGGGCTCTCTCATTCTATGATTTCAACTCTGTGACAGCACTTATTGCACCAAGGAAAGCAGGGTGGGGTGTTATGTATAACAATGTTAGTGGGACTGTATATATGGCATCCTATATTAAACTGACCTTGCTGAAGTAATTTTTGTTTTACATACACTTTCAGTTGATAAAAGGTAATGGTTGCATTATACAGCATTTTGTCATCTGACTTTATCAAGGTAAGTGATTATCACTTACCTTGATAAAGTCAGATGATGAAACACATTAGCAAAGTACTGTTTTCCTATTGTCTATATATATATATATATATATATATATATATATATATATATATATATATTTTTAAGACATTTTTATGTTTAACATTGTTTTTATAGATACAAATATTTAAGTAAATGCTCTGTTTATAATAAACAGTGTTAAACAACATTTACTGGCCTGAATGTCCGAGAAATTTTCATAGAAAATATTCGTCCTCCGACAGGATTCGAACCTATATCCTATATGGAACCATCATATAGCTTGATGTGCTTTTACTGATTTCCCCACAGAGGATCGATTGGTTAGCAAGGTCGAATTTACTGCTTTTAAACTTCAATCATCCATGAATCTCTCACGTACATTCATGTCTGCTCATGGCGTATCAAATGTAAACACATGACGTCACACATTATGAAATGGACAAAGTCCGACAATTATTTTAAGATATTTGTATCTATAAACAGAATGTTAAACATAAAATGTCTTAAAATAATTGTTGGACTTTGTCCATTTCATATATATATATATATATATATATATATATATATATATATATTTGTTGCAGTTGGTGTGTGCATTTTTAATAGCATATCAACTTCTGTTGGTTATTTAATGCTGAAATTTAAATATTTTGAACAAAATTTAATGACTTCAACTAAATATATTTTGAATGCAATTGCATGCCTTCAACTACAGATAAAATGTATTGTTGGTATTTTTACTATAAAAATGTATTTTTATACTTTCATAGTGTTTTGTTTGGGGGTTTCCTATTTTCCCATAGATGGGACTCTAAAAATGTTACCAACTCGGGTCAAAGTGGAACAACAGCAATTAAGAGGTGGTTCCACACTCCTCAAAACCTCCCAATCAGAGACTTTACTGCCAGATGTAGTTTATCGTTATACCCAGGGCTGCTGTAGAAACAGGGTGAACAATAACAGAGCTGTACGTTTTTGTTTGTTTATTTGTTTTACAGCATATCAACCTCAATGGGTTATTTAATGCCGACAAAATTTTTATTTCTGGTAATATTTTTTTTTTTCAAATGTAATGCTGGTAATTTTTTTTCTTCAAAAATGTATCACTTGTAATTTTTTTCTTCAAAAATGTATTGCTTGTAATTTTTTTTCTTCAAAAATGTATTGCTTGTAATTTTTTTTCTTCAAAAATGTATTGCTTGTAATTTTTTTCTTCAAAAAAGTATAGTTGGTAATAACTTTTTTTTTTACAAAGTATTTCTGGTATTAAAACCTATTTTTACACATTCACAGTGTGTTGACCCCAGTTTAGGGTTAAAAAAAATATACTGCTGGTAATAATGTACTCCTATTAATAATTTTTTTCCTTCAAAAATATATTGCTGATATTTCTTTTTCCAAAACATATTGCTGGAAAAATTTTTTTCCAAAAAGGGATTGCTGGTATTAAAACCTATTTTTACACTTTCATAGCAAGGTTTAACTATATGCCCATAGCTGGGACCCTAACAGGTGCAACCATCCCAGGTCATGGTGGACCTTGGAACACCAGCAATTAAGAGGTGGTTCCATGCTCCTCAAAACCTTCTGATCAGAGGTCTTGCTGTTGGACGTAGTTTATCGTCTTACCCAGGACATGGATATAGTTTATTGTCTTACTCAGGACGGCTGAGCTATACTAAAAAAAATCAAGATATACCTAGACATAGACATGGTGGAACTAGAACAATATATCCCTGTAGATTAAATAAAGGTTTCAATTCAAATTTTATGAAGCTTACTACTTGATTGATAGAATCTATCTTACACACTTTAAGTCTACCATTCATCCATACATTGAATATTGCTGCTGCATCTGGTCTGGTATATATGTAGAGATTCTTGATAACATACAAAGAAGACTCTGCAATATTATCAGCCCTGACCTGACATCTCGGCTTCAGGCACTTTCCCACCACTGTAATGTAGATTACCCATGCCTTTTCTATAAATATTTTCATGGTAATCGTTCTGATAAGCTTTCCTCTTTGGTAACTAAACTTTACAAATTTAAGCGCAGTACTAGATTGGCAGCTAGGTCTCATCATTTTACAGATTTATTGGCTAGATGTAACTGCAAGTTCTATGCTAACAGTTTCTTCTCTTGCACTTTGTGGAACTCTTCTGGCGTCTTGCTTTCCAGTCAACTTTGAACTTCAAAAATTTAAACGCAATGCTAATTGTTATCTTTCATTTTCTTAATTTCTGTTTTATTTTTTTCCCTTGTTAATAATGTTTTTATTTTTCTCATATTCTTTCACATTCAATAACCTCTTGCATCTTAGTGGATTTATTGTCTCGCTTGAGGTGAAATGATTTAAAAGAGAAGATACCTGAAGGAGGTCAGAGGTTACAACAGCCAAAATATTGTGATAGTCATAACAAATATGAGGATATTAGTCCAGCTGTAAATAATGTAAATGAAAATGTTAATAACATTTTGCATTGTTTTTTGAACAGGGAGATCTTGAACCTGTATCATTTTAGCTCTGGCAAAATTTATTCAGTAATAAAAGGAAAAATTATAATTAATCAGCATAATGAAGGGGGGAAAATGATAAACTCGGAAAAAAATTTTTGTAGATTAAACTGAAATCAAAAAACACAAGGGAAGTTTTGGAGTAAAACAAAAAGTGATAAGATCTGTTGAATTAGTAAACAATAATCTTTAAAGCAAACAAAAAATAAACGATTACTAAAGACAGACAACAAGTAAACAAATTATTATTTAAGTAAAATAAAAGCAAACAACAATTTCATTCTGTTTAATCATAAAAATACATACCGATACCACTAGTTTCTAGGCTGGCTGTAACAGGAAAATATTTTCATGTTGAAATATCAAATAGCATATAATGAAGACAAAACTGGTTCATGAATCTACTGAAAAAATAGTTCTTTAAGAAAATAGTGATTATTTGAGCACTGTACAACAAAGCAAGTGTTTGTGTGAAGGTTCAAAATTGGAGATATCTACATGCCTGCAGTGAGGCTGACATATTAAGCTACAAATTTTGGATTATAGTTGAAATTCTAGCACCAGGAAATTTTGAACTGACTTTCTTTTCATTAGTAGCCAAAGGTAGCCTAGCTTCTTTAAAAAGTACTTCCGAAATTGTAAGCAGCAGAATTTAAAATTTAGTTATATTGGGCTTTCATAAAAGTAGCCTAATTTGATAATCTTAGCCTGTGGTAAAAATGACCTAAAATGTTCCTAGAATATAGGTATTAAATTTCTTTAGTGTATAGACGGCTGTAAAATAAGTATGACCAAATACAAATAAAGAAATATATGTTATTGTATCATTGTCATTAGAAGTAATCAGTTTAACTACTAAGAAAATTGCCTAATGTAAATTTAAAACTATTTTTGCTCTATACTTCATTTCGATTGACTTTTTTTCCTTCTGAGAAAAGATACACTCATTGGATATTTAAATAATGTTAACTTGCCCCCCCTTCCCATTTTTTTTTTTTTTTTTTTAATTAATAGATATTTTAGATGAAAGTGTATGAAATTCTTCAAGTTTAACCCATTAATACCCAATGTAATTATTTAATGCTTAACTTAATTATCATAAAAATAGCTTTGGGGCAGTGATTTTGACAAATAGAGCTTGAAAGTGTTTTTATTTTTTTATTTATTTTTTTTATTTTTTACCCCAAGCAAGGTGATAATGCCATAAGGATGCCAGGGAGTTACAGGGAGTGAAAGAGAATGAGAAAACTTTAGTGAGGAAAGGACAAGAAAGGAAAAGGGTTCAGGAAGACAGAAGATAGCAATAGACATTGCATTTAACTTTTTCAAGAGTGTAGGTGACAGAGAAGCAAGAAATAAGACTGGAGTTCCCCAAGCAAGAAGTGTGAGAAAAGAAGTTTTTAGAATAGAAGTTACAGTTGTATCTAGTTAGTTCAACAGTAAAACTGTGGGACTCAGTTGCCAATCTAATAACATGCTTAAATTCATGCAGCTGAGTTACCAGGGGAAAAAAACTCATCAGAAAGTAGTTGTGAAAATATTTATAGCAAAGACAGGGGGTAGCTATGTCATGTCAGTGAGAAAGTAACTGAAGTTGAGATGTCTGGTCAGGATCAGTTACATTACGGACCCTTCTTTGGATTTTGTCAAGAATCTTGAGATATACAGCAGGAGCATAAGACCACATATGGCAGCAGTATTCCATTCATGAACAAATGGTAGTTTTATAAATGTGCAAAATGGATTCTGACACGAAAAATGCCACAGTGGTTTCAAATTTGATAAACAATAATAGTTATTGTAGGCAATTACCTTTTGAAAAGACATGTACCACAATTCATTTATACGAAGTCTTACATGTTTATTAGGTATTTTAATGTATATTTTTTATCAAACACAGAAAGAAAATTGGAATCAAAATTAGAAGATTGTAGTCAATGTTTGTTTAATATTCACAGGCCTATGGTTTTAAATGATGAAGACAATAGTTCTTACTAATCAAATGTATATTCACAATTCCTCACAAAAAAAAAAAAATAAAATTTGAACAGAATTGCCAATTTTTAATTTCTGAAGTCAGTGACAATGTTCATTATAAAAGAGTTTGTGCCTTTTATCTATTGTTACCTCTCTTAGTTCACCAATTTCACTCCACTGTTTACGTCCCATAGGATGTGGAGGTGGTCTTTGATAACACAACTGTATAACACGATAACAAGAGACATGTCGAAATTCTGGACGGGAGTGTTGTGTTGGGTCAACAAAGCACAGGCTGCAGAATCATGACACAGCTGACCACAACTGTCCGTGTTGTCTGAGAGTATACGCTTAGCCCTTTTGATAGCCAGTCTTGCCCAGCCATTGCTTTGTGGGTAGTATACCAATAAAGTACTTTTTCCCTATTCACCAATAAACAAGTGTAATCTTGGGAATCAAAAGTTGGTCTCTTGTCAGAAGAAAGTTCTTCAAGTACACCATATGTGCAGAACCAAGTTCTCAGGGTGTCACATACTGCCCTGATTTTCCCAGCTTACATTAGGGCCACTTCCACCCAACCATTATATCAATCTATGTATATAACATAATTTCAACCATGTAGATAAAAAAAAATCAATCCCAGTGTGTTGAAATGGGAATTCAGGGTTAGACAGTGGCATTAAGGACTCTTTAGGCTGTGATGATGAGAGAGAGTTACATACATAGCATTCGACTTCGATTCTGGTCTGCCAGACACTGGCATTCAAACCCGGTCAAAATAGGCATTGTCTCGCATTTGCTAGCATGCCATTTACACTCTGGTGTGCAGAATGTAGATATTCAAGTACTTACACACAAAGGTGTCAAGGTATGAGAATTTTATTCTCCTTGTCACAGTACAATTCCTTATATAAGGGCCAAACCCAAGAGATCACCAATTGGAGGTCATGGTGTGATTTGGGGAATCCAGTCCATATATATTCCATCAGAGTATAACTTTATCAATGATTCTTTTGGTAATGATCCTATCCATGTGATAGCCCTCAGTCTGGGGTCATGCTCATATGTGGACAGGAATGTAGCTTTGATTGCACTGTCAATTGGTTTGACTGCATCAGTTGTAGTTGCTTTGTAGAATGACCATCTATGCTTCTGTCGTATATGTGCAGATGATATTTGGAGACTTTCTGTCAAATCTTCTGATGGGATCCATGCTGGGTACCAGGAGGCACAATCAGATTCAGCATTAAGTTTTTCCATGTTTAATGCTGAATTTATATATTAGTGTGCATTCATTGAAATTAAAAAGATGTGGGTTCTTTATGTTCTTGAGGACCCAATCTGAGAAAATTTCATTAGCAAAATCTGGGCATCCCAATATAAACACCCAACTTGATTCTAGTCCATAGACAAGAGCGAGTTTCACCTACCACCAGTGTATAGTGGAATTCTGCATCGTTGGTCAAGCGAGATCTGGCCAAAATAATTTTCCATTGACCATCACTTCAAATTGGGTTTGCTTCACTAGGGCAATTGTAGTGTTTTTGAAAAATGAAGTAACCGATTCCTGTTTTACTGTAATCTGTTGAAAGGCATGTCAGTTTATTGAACATCTTGACTTCGTCCTCAATTTTCTGCATGATTACTTGCTTCAACTCAAAAAGTTGGTCAAGCATTTCATCCCAATAAAATAATTGGTTCTTTGAGCACAGTAATTCCCGGAAGAGAGCCCATCACCTCAGCTTGCGAAAATGCATAATATACCTGATTCACTAGTTCAAACCAGGGCATGACAGCCATAATAATTTTGGGCGTAGGAAAGTGAAGGATAGCCAAAGTCATTTTCTTCATTGGTTTTACACCATCGACCATTATTAAGAACCCAACAAACTCTACCTTATTCTCTGCAAAATGGAATTAAACACAATCTCATTTTCCCCTCAGTGTGTTATATATTCCATTGTATGCCAGAACAAGGTCTGTATAGAATCATCCCAAAGGAGACTATCATCTATGCAACAGGTTTTTTTTAACAATGTTCACTGTAATATCATCAAACCAATGGGTATATCTGTCTCCAGATGTGTGAAATCCCTGGAGAGCATGAAGATATCTGTACCAGCCCCATTCAGTGATAAATGTAGTGGCATTTTTTTGTGGCTGGGGAAAGTGGTAAGCTATGGTACCCATTCCATGCATCCAGAACTGTTTTCCTTATTTGAGCCACAACAATGAAGACCTGATTAAATGGGGACATGGTGTGATAGGTTTCCCTCAGGGAGGCAGCATTCAGTTCTTACAAATCCAATGTGCATCTGGGGGAGCCATCTTTTTGGGGTGCAACTACCATCCTTGAGCACCAAGTTGTAGGATTGTCCACTGGACCACTGATGGTGTCACATCAGAGATGAAGTTAGTCAGATGGCTTTTCTGTCATGGTTTGTAAGGGTTGGTGTGGGCATGTATTAAATGCAATGGACATGAAACGATCACATATCCATTGTTCCAGTGGGTGCCTGCTGGTTTTGGTCGGAAAGAACAGGATGTTACAAGGCATCACTGGAATGGGTTTTCTGTATAGATATGTGCACAGGGCATTTTACTCTGCACCCTTCAGTTATTTGTGTCATGATATCTGGGCTGGAAAATCAGGTGGCAACAGATGGAGATCAGGGCAGATTCTGATAACATGTTGTTTGACACATAGACCACCTGTCATGTCTCCCTTGAGCCAATTTTTATATACATGAATAACATAACCTTTTATATGAAGTTGGTTGTCTGTGATGCCCTGTATTTGATGACTAGTTGGCATGAGGTACTTCTCTGGGCACCTGAGTAGTTTTAATATCTCTTGTCCATTTGAACAAGTTTGAGCCTCTGTATCAGCGAACACAAGAATGCGATGATTACCGTGGCTAAGCAGATCAGTTTGGGTGCAATGAAGTATTGGTCTGATGCATAATAGTCCCTTCTATTGTCAGTGATAGTGGTGCATCTGGGACACCTCTTTCAAATTCCTTTCACTTCCATGCAAGATGAGATATAGCACTAGATGCTGTCAAACAGGTTTTATGGCTCCATTTTGATCTGCCAGCATAGCAGATGGTGCAAAACTTTCAAACTAGTCTTTGAGAAAGTGAATGAATTCCACCCTGCCTCACACCCTATTAATTTGTTTATGGTTCCAATTCTGATTTTAACAGATTTCTGGCATACAATTTTTATGCGACCCCCTAATCCCGCAATTATGACAGCCCTCTTCAGCAAAGTCTTCGAAGCCCTAATCAATGCCAAAGGGGTTAATCACCTTACATCCCATGATCTGCTTTCAGACAAGTAATATGGCTTCC